TGATTAATTACTAGAAATCAGTTCTCTCTCTGTTAGTTTGAAGACTAATGTTGATTTGAGGGATCACTTGAAGTAGCCTTTTGGAGATCCAAGGGTGCAATGTTACTATGGTAGGAAAAGATGGAAAGAGGGTTTTTAGATCAAATCCCGGAAGGATTTGGAATTGTTACAAGGGTGAAAAGAAAATCAATATGAAAATCTGGTAAGGAGGTGTTGATTAAAGCTGTTGCACATGCCATTTCAATCTTCTCTATGAACTGTTTTATATTGCCAGTGACTTTGTGCGATGGATTTGGTCGGGGTAAGGTCAGAATAAAGAAAGAAAAAAAAAATCTATTTGATCTTCAATTTTGAAAAATAGTTTTGAAGTCTTAAAATTTTTTTTTTTAAATGTTTAGATGTATCTAATAGATGTATGAAAAATGATTCATCATCCAAATTAAGCCCTTCCAATTCCACTCCCAATGACTTGCTTGAGACTCATGTGAAGACACCCACGCTCTTCTCTCTCTCTCTCTCTCTCTCTCTCTCTCTCTCTCATCGGTCGTCGTCAGAGAGAAGACTAACCGGCGGGTGGCGCCAGTCTGTCTTCTTCTCTCAAACTTTGGCCTCCTCTCCACCATCCCCACCAGCTCCAGCCAATCCACCAAATTAGTTTCCTTTTTTTCTTTTTCTTTTCTACACCGATGGGTTCTTACGATGGAGGGTCACCAGAGGTGGTGAGTTGGCTGCGTCCTCCTCTACTTCTCTCTACTTTGCCTTTTTTTTTGTAGGAAGAGAGAGAGGGTGGGAGAAAGAAGAAGATAAAGAATGAAGAATGAAGAAAGAGGAAAAAGAAAAAGGGGCTAGGTTTGCGACAGTGATGGCAGTGCTGATGAGTAGAGGAAGGGAGGGTTAGCAATGGTGCTAGAGAGGGTTGTCGGTGAGGGTGGTGGGTTTCTTAGTTTTTAGAGAGAGAAAGTAGAAGGATGATGAGGATGTTGGAGAGGGAGATGCTTGCTGGAGAGGGAGTGAATATAAATTTTTTTTCCCCCTTTGTCTTTCTGTAAGTGCATGAAACACACTCATTTTGCAATTGATATATAAATTCTACTTTCTCATCCAAATCATTGGGGGTGAAATTAGGAGCTCAATTAGGAGATGTAGTAAGACTATAGATGTATTTTAAAAATAAATATTAGTTAAGAAATCTTTTAAAAAAATTAATAAATACAAAAAAAATGAAAATGTACTAATTTTTGTGTATATATATTGAATTTTTTTTAAAAAAAAAAATTTCAATTTAAAAGTTTTTTATATAATTTTTTTACTTTTAAGTGTATTTAGATTAAGTGAATCTAAAAAGTAAAAAATATTGATTAAAATATTTAAAAAGTTCACTAAAATTTTTTTTAAAAAAATTCAAATTGAAAACACAAAACCTATTTTTGAAAACTTCAAAACCAGACAAAATTGCTTGGGAGACTTTGTGCTAGGCTAAAGCACAAGGTCAGTTCTGATCCACCCCCCCCCTCCCCCCCAAAAAAAAGGAAGCATAAGTTCAGTTGGGTTTCAAGTCTCTCCATACTTTCAATCTTGCTATTGCTTGCTAAGCAATGCTGGGGATTGCTCACTAATCCCAACTCTTTACTTGGAAAAATAGTCAATGCAAAATATTTTCCAATTGCCAACATGAGAATGGAATCTTCAAGGGTAGTTCAATAAATTCAATGGAAATCTCTTCCGGAGCATTTATTCATGATAAATGTCTATGACAATTTGAATTCGGAAACAAAACGTGCATTTAGAACGTGCCGCCATAGGCTGTAAAAATGCTATCAAAGGACATAAAGGCATTTATAGTTTTACATCTGTAATACGCTCGCCGTCTTAAGTTTGTGGCGCCATTTTAATGATGTCGCTACACTTATAGACGACATTTTTTGAAGCTGTCTATAAGAAAATGGCTTGTTTTTTTCAATTAAAGGCCTTGTTGGTAATGAATGCAAGCAGTTGAAAACTAGTTTTGCAAAATAAGCCGAGTCTGTCTAGCTCTACTAACAGACACCAAGAAAATTCTTGGTGAAGAACCTACGTCAATAGTATTGATTTCCATTTATTCGGTGTTGAGTGATGTTGTCACTTCAAATATTGAAGGCATTTACTGCTTATCAATTATTTTATTTGTGATGAAAGATTAAAACTGATATTTGAACTCGCTAATTTAATGAACCACAAACCAAATCTCAACATTTTTGTAAAATTGATTTGCATTTTTTCAAACTATAATTCATATTCAATTTTCTCAAACCATAATTCCTTGTCAATTCCAACAACTACCAATGTTGGAATTGATTTTAATGATGTTTAGATAAAGTAACAAACTGAAAAATAAAATAACACAATAGTAGAAGATAAAACCATGTACTTGAACATGAGAAGGCAAGACCTATCTTTACAGGATTCAAAGCCTCTGTAACTTAGCAGAGAAACCAACTTTAACCTTACAAACTTGAACAACATGATAATGTCTTGATTCTAAATCAAATTATGTAAAAAACGCTTTTCAATTCCATTGTTTTTAAAATATCTGTTCCATTCAATCATAGACCAATTAGAACCATTCATCCAACAAAGATCATACATTATAGAATTCTGAATTTAAGTTTTATAACAATCTAACAACAAAAGATATTACAACTTAGAAAGTTTTATAACAAGCACCTACTGCAATTTGGGAGGACAAAATATTCATTGTCTTAACCCTAAGAAACTGATTCATAAGAAATAAATATGACAAAGTTCTACAAAGAAAGACTCAAAACAAAACATATATGTTCCAACATGTTCGACATATTCAAACGGGGGATAGACTTTCAATGAATTGATAAGTACGAGTATAATGATATTGGTTAAAATACAATCCGCGAAAGTTACCTTTGGGAAAATCATCACGAAGCACCTTCAATGTTTTGCACTTGAGATTATAATAAATAACTTTGCCTGCAGTAGCTAACACCAGTCCCAACTCGTTTTTATTTACTCCCTTCGCAGCACATAGCACGTGAAATTTGTAGTCTTTGCTTGTGTTATTTATCTCAGGGAAGACAGAAATTAAGGGTCTAAAATTGACACGGCACTTCACAATCCAACTGAAGGAGTCCCTTTCCATCTGAAGGATTCTAAATCCCATAGCAGAGCGCAATCGCATTTGAATAAGAATCAAATGACCATCACATTCTCCAAAATATCTAGCCTTGTCCACAGGAAGAATTTTAGGAGCAATAGGATTTGGAATTCGTATCAGCTCCTCTGAACCAACATCGAATCGAATGTGATGGTCATTACTTAACCAGTGGATTGCTCCATTCCAAAAGACCCCTTCGAGACGCTTAACAGGTAGTGCATCGACAGTAATATGCCTCCAATACTTACTCTCCGAAGAGTAGATATCCAATTGATAAGAAGGGGGAGTGTAATTATACAAAACAACTTTGTAATGACGTGATTGTGAAGGATCAAAAGCCAAGTAAGCAGGTGGTTGAGTATCACCATGTTCAGGAAGTCGAGTGAATTCCTGGGTGGTGAGATTACAAACAACATAACATGTTGTCTTGCGATTGTGAATAAAGCAATCAATGTCGCACAAGATTAATCCATTGCAAGAGCTTACAATCCTAACTCTTCTACATTCGATGTAGTAGGGTGTGGGGAGGCTTGATTGGCCGAGAAGCGAGACAGACTTAACTTGTTCATTTCTAGACCAATAATGGTGGTAGAAGAATAAGCCAGAGACGGTGCGATTGCAATTTCGGTGAGCGTGCTTGGAGCCAAACTGAGAATCGGAGATGAGATCGAGCCAATTCTTCGAGACAGACATGAATCTGAGTAGGGATTTGGGAGGAAGACGCAGGAGGATCTCTGAAAGGAGATCAACGTTGCTAGCAATGACTTCGGATGAAGCTGGTGAGGTTTCCGATGAAGCAGAATCGGTGATCAACTTTTCTGAAGCTGGTGAGGTTTCCGATGAAGTAGAATCCGTGATCAACTTTAACCTTTTTCTGAAGGATATTCTGTTCTCCATTGTTGCCGCTGCGCAGAGATTGTGAATAACAGGGCCTTTAGGGTTTGCAAGAAAGGGGTTAATCCTACAAATGTCAATACTTACAAAATCTTGAGAAATAAATTTCCACTTAGAAGTAATTTGCCAACCGTGAGCTCGGAATGGCCTTGTTTGTTTTTGTTTTTGTTTAGAAATATTTGGGCCTTGTTTGGTTTGTATTTGATAAATATGTTTTGAGATAAAAAGTACGAAAATTTGTTTGGTTTGGTTTTTTTTCAAAAGATGTTTTGAAAAATTATTTTGAGAGAGAGTTTTGAAAAAAGTGATTGATTTGATGTGTATGAGAGAGAGATTTGTTTGGAAAATTTGTAAACCAAACAAGTTTTGAAAAAAAAATTTAGAAAAATTTATTTGGTTTGATTACTTTTGAAAACTTATTTGTAAAGAATTTTTTCTCAAAATTTTTTGAAAAACACAAACCAAACAAGCCCTTGGTATTTTGGAAAGATAGTTAAAAGTTATTTTTTGATTTTTTTTTTGTTTTTTTTTGTTTTTTTTTGTTTTTTGTGAGAGAGAGAACTTTTAACCCACTTCTTAAAATTGGCCATTATTTCAAAAATAATTTTTGGGGAGAATTTAAAATTTTTGAAAATTTGTTTGGTCGTATATTTTGAAAATAATTTTAAATTTTAAAATTTGGGAAGATTTGATATTTTTTTATTCAGAGCTGCTACAAGGCCCGAAAGTGTTAGGCTCGAATTTGCCCCAAATCCAAAATGACGTAGTTTTGGATTTTTTTTTTTCCCTTTTTTTCTTTTGTTTTTGGAATTTTCTCTTTTGAAGATGAAAAGAGAACAGAAGCAGAAGCAGAAGCAGAAGCAGAAAGAAGAAAGAAGAAGAAGAAACTCCAGTAGCAATCATCAACATCATCAACAGCCAACATCTTCATCAACATCATCGACATCATCAACAGCCAACATCTTCATCAACATCATCAACATCTTCACCATGATCCAGTAGAAAAATATATATATATATCAACAACATCTTCATCAATAACAACATCTTCATCATCATCACCAAAAAAAAAAAAAAAAAGGAATCAAATCCGATTCAGATCCAACTCCAGCTCCGATCACCGCCATCACTGTCGATCTTCCTCCTCCGCCATCACCGCCACCGTCTTCTTCTCTTCCTCCTCCTTCTCCCCATCTGTTCTCCTTCTCCTCTCTTCCTCTTCTCTTCTCTCCTTTCTCTCTCTCTCGCCTCTGTGCCTGTGTTCCAAACCAAGAAAAGGAAGAAAAAAAAAAAAAAAAAGCAAGAAAAGGAAAAAAAGAAAAAAATGAAACCCAAATTCGAGCCAAAGATTTCGAGCCCTCAAACAATTTTCTTTTTTATTATTAAATAGATGGGTGTGAAGGAAAAAAGTAATTGAAAATGAAAGAGAAGAAAGAAAAAGTGATTCATTGTTGTATAATAGAGAGAAAAGTGATTTTGGATTTTTTTTTTTTTTTACCCAAACATTTTTTAAAATTTTTTTCTCCCAAAACAAATTTGGCATTGAGCATTGTTACATATTTAACATTTTAAAAATGTATATTGTTTTGAGAAAAAAAAGGGTGAATACCTTGGTGAATCTAGGTAGAGGGTGTAGTTGTGGTACTATGTTGGCTTGTGTGTCCTTGGTGAACGTCTAGAAACCCACACGATTAGATGTTGAGCCTTCTGGTTAATCCCGCTAAAAATTACAATTAGTGGTCCTTGTATAGCCTACTTGCAGACACGTACCTATAGATTCCTAAAGTTGTAATCACTGTCCTGTTTTCTATTATAAGGGAAATGATTTCATGAATTGTGGTATAATCTGACATAGCATGGTTTTTGGAAAGAGATATAAAACGTTTTGATAAGAGCATTTCATATGCATTCACCTTATAACTTTGTTATTGGGCTTTGGCTCACCCTATGTGGAAAACCATTTTTAGGTGCTGATGATATGCCTCCACCCAGACCGTGGCTTGGGAGGGCTTGGAGCCAAGAGCTTCTTTTTGTTATTGTTGTAATTATTGTATACAAGCCTAGAGCTTTATTTGTATTAAGTTTCAAATTCACTTTTGTTGTAGCCAAGCATCATCTTGGAAAGATGTAGCCAATAGGGCATTACTTCATTGGTTTAACTTTTATTTCGTATTGCTTACTTGTGACAAATCCTACAGATTCATAGTTAGGAGTTATGAATGTATAACAGCATGTGTTACCTTTTGTACAATGGAATCATATGAATGAAAGATAGTACTTTAGCACGTGTTATTTATTTATTTTGATCAACCAAAATAACTTTAGTGATGAGGAAAACCTTACAACAAAGGTATAAACACAACAATAAAGGAGAGGGGGGGGGGGGGATGATGCAAAAGCCATCATAGTGAAACAGTCCAATCCCAACTAAGTTGGCACTAAGATACTCACATAGTATTGGTTTCCATTTATTCTGTGTTGAGTGACGTTGTCACTTCAAATATTGAAGGCATTTACTGCTTATCAATTCATTTTATTTGACATGAAAACTCAGATTTGAACTCGTTAATTTAATGAACCACAAACCAAATTTCTCAAGCATTTTTGTAAAATTAATTTGCAATTTTTTCAAAACATGATTCATATTCAATTTTCACAGACCATAGATCCAGGACTTTGTTATTGTGGGGGCCAAAAGGGAGACATTGGGACGGATGTAAAAGGGTTGTTCGAACTAGGTTTAAATGAATGACATATATTATTCTAGACATATGAAAACTTAAAATTGTTCGAGGGAGATGTTTTAGTCTTTCAATTAGTTGAACTCAACAATTTTATGGTAACATCTAGAATTATGATTTTTCTCTCTCTAGATTATATGATTTTGTTATTGATTATTTGTTCAGTATATATTTTTGTCTATGATAGCCGAAATAACAAGTGAATCTTTACTACAATATACAATTTTCTTGTTTTATAATCTGTTATGTACTTGCAAATTTAGGTTTTTTTTTTTTTTATTGTCTTAAAAAAATTGTTCAAACTATAAAATATATTAACAAAGTGTGTACACAACATAACAAACACCTAATCAGTGCGTAGAAAGGACTGAGCAGCAAGGATTTTTTATTTTTTATTTTTAAAATGAATAGATTAATGTATGAAAGGTGGAAATAGAGAGACCAAACTTTCAAGGCTTTGTTAATTGCCTTTGCTACCATGTTGCAATTGATCTTCATGATGTTCAGATAAAGTAACAACCTGATAAATAAAAGAACACAATAGAAGATGATAAAACCATGTACTTTCCTGCACAAGAGAAGGCAATAGCTATGAAGGCAATAGCTACCTTTACAGGATTCCAACCCTCGGTAACTTAGCAAAGATATCAACTTTAACCCTAAAAACTTGAACAATATGATAATGTCTTGATTCTAAATCAAATTATGTAAAAAACGCTTTTCAATTCCATTTTTTTTTCTTTTTAATATCTTTTCCATTCAATCATAGACCAATTAGAACCATTCAACCAACAAAGATCATACATTATAGAATTCTGAATTTAAGTTTTATAACAATCTGACAACAAAAGATATTAGCACCTACTGCAATTTGGGAGGGCAAAATATTCATTGTCTTAACACTAAGAAACTGATTCATAAGAAACAAATATGATAAAGTTCTACAAAAAAGGACTCAAAACAAAACATACATGTTCCAACATGTTAGACATATTCAAACGGGGAATAGACTTTCAATGAATTGATACGTACGAGTATAATGATATTGGTTAAAATACAATCCGCAAAAGTTACCTTTGGGAAAATCATCACGAAGCACCTTCAATGTCTTGCACTTGAGATTATAATAAATAACTTTGCCCGCAGTAGCTAACACCAGTCCCAACTCATTTTTATTTACTCCCTTCACAACACATAGGACGTGAAATTTGTAGTCTTTGCTTGTGTTATTTATCTCAGGGAAGATAGAAATTAAGGGTCTAAGATTGACGCGACACTTCACAATCCAACGGAACGAGTCCCTTTCCATCTGAAGGATTCTGAATCCCATAGCAGAGCGCAATCGCATCTGAATAAGAATCAAATGATCATCACATTCTCCAAAATATCTAGCCTTGTCCACAGAAAGAATTTTAGGAGCAATGGGATTTGGAATTTGTATCAGCTCCTCTGAACCAACATCAAATCTGATGTGATGGTCATTACTTAACCAGTGGATTGCTCCGTTCCAAAAGACCCCTTCGAGCCGCTTAACAGGTAGTGCATCGACAGTAATATGCCTCCAATACTTACTCTCTGAAGAGTAGATATCGAATTGATAAGAAGGGGGAGAGTAATTATACAAAACAACTTTGTAATGAGGTGATTGTGAAGGATCAAAAGCCAAGTAAGCAGGTGGTTGACTATCACCATGTTCAGGAAGTCTAGTGAATTCCTGGTTGGTGAGATTACAAACAACGTAACATGTTGTCTTGCGATTGTTAATAAAGCAATCAATGTCGCACAAGATTAATCCATTGCAAGAGCTTACAATCCTAACTCTTCTACATTCGATGAAGTAGGGTGTGGGGAGGCTTGATTGGCCGAGAAGCGCGACAGACTTAACTTGTTCATTTCTAGACCAACAATGGTTGTAGAAGAATAAGCCAGAGACAGAGCGATAGCGATTTCGGCGAGCGTGCTTGGAGCCAAACTGAGAATCGGAGATTAGATCGAGCCAATTTTTCGAGACAGACATGAATCTTAGTAGGGATTTGGGAGGAAGACGTAAGAGGATCTCTGAAAGGAGATCAACGTTGCTAGCAATGACTTCCGAGGAAGCTAGTGAGGTCTCCGATGAAGCAGAATCGGTGATCAATTTTTCTGAAGCTGGTGAAGCTTCCGATGACGTAGAATCCGTGATCAACTTTAACCTTTTTCTGATGGATATTCTGTTCTCCATTGTTGCCGCTGCGCAGAGATTGTGAATAACAGGGCCTTTAGGGTTTGCAAGGAAGGGGTTAATCCTACAATAAATGCAATATTTACAAAATCTTGAGAAATAAATTCACCTCTTAAATCCAAATTTCAACTTAGAAATAATTTGCCAACCGTGAGCTTGCAATGGCCTCGTTTGTTTTTGTTTTGAAATGTTATTTCAAAAATAATTTTTGAAGAGAATTTAAAAGATTTAAAAATTTATTTGGTCGTATATTTTGAAAATAATTTTAATATTTTAAATTTTGAAATAATTTAATATTTTTTTATTATTGAACAGATGCGTGTAAAGAAAAAAATGATTGAAAATGAGAAAAGAGAAAGAAAAAATAATTTATTACTATATAATAGAGAAAAAAGTGATTTTGAATTTTTTTTTTTTAAACTTTTAACAAAACTTTTTTTAGAATTTTTTCTCCCAAAACATATTTGGAAAGACAAACCAAATATGCCCTATAAATTTTGTTTCCTAAAGTCTTAAATCTAAAAAATTAGATCATTTTGTAATATTATTATTTTATTATATTTTTCTCTAAAAAAATAAATGATAAATATGTTATTAAAAATCAACATTCATGAGAGCTCACGCATGTAACTATAACAACATAAAGGCTTAGTTTGGGGAGAATATTGGGTTAAAATGGCCTATTAAAAGATAAAATAGGCTAAAATAATTAATAAAATAAAATATCACATTTAATTCATAATAATTTTACTTTTTCTCTCACAATCATTAAATTAATAAAAAAATAAAAACTATCAAACTTTTCAAATGCAACTTTTTAGTCAAATTAAAATAATTCAAAAGTCAAATAACTAACTAAAATAATCAACTTCTCAAGCAAGGTCAAACTAAGATAATATTTACAGCCTATAATTTTTCTTTAATTTATAATTACAAGATAATATTGCCATTAGTTATTTCATGATTTTAGTAATTTACTTTGAACCAAACAAACGACATCTATGCCATTTCATAGGAAGAAAAAAACACAAGGATGGCATGATTTTGGAAAACATCGCTCAATGTCGTATAATGACATTAGCTGATAATTGAGATGTCATCAATATATGTAGATAATTATGATATTTTAGATCATCAATAAATGTTGTAAACAGTGGTCATATTTGCAATGTAAATTATGAAGCTATTTTAGCCTTTAATGCCTGCTAAGGAAGGGAAATGGCTGCTAATATTTCAATGCTAGAAGTTGCTAATGTTTTACCAAAATTTCGACCATGCTACGTAGCTCGAAACCGCAGCTCGAAATCGCGGCTCGACACCAAAACGACGTCGTTTTGGTGTCGAGCCGCGATTTCGAGCTGCGGTTTCGAGAGCTCGACACCAAAACGACATCGTTTTGGTTTTGAATTTTTTTTTTTTTTTTTCTTTCTTTCTTCCCTGGTTTTGTTACAGAACGAAGAAGAAGAAGAAGAAGAAGAAGAAGAAGGGAGAAGAAGAGAAGGGAAGAGGAGGAGGGAGGGGAGGAGGAGGAGGAGGAGGAGGAGGGAGGGGAGGGGGCCATAAAAACCGGTTGGAGGAGGAGGGGAGGCTGGGCAGATGACGGTGGTGCTGCGACGTCGGCGGGGCTGGGCAGACGACCGGGGCTGGGCGAGGCGACGGTCTGCTGCGACGATCGGCGACGACCCACGGCGACGAGCCCTCTCCTCTCTCTTTCTCCCTCTCTCCTCCTCTTCCCTCTCTTTCTCCCCTCTTCTTCCATTTTCGAGCCGTTTTGAGCTCGACCCTTTCGAGCTACGAGACATTTTCGCCAAAATTTTTACAAACTCATATTCTATTTCCAAAACTTTCCCATATACGAACCTAATTCCTTATAATCAGAATCTGTGCCTAGCCAATAATGGCGAAGAAAGTATCTAGCAAAAGAACAAAAATGATCATCAGTTCTACTTCATCGCAAATCACACCGGTTGAGGAACAAGTAATTGCGAGCAATGAAGATCTCATTATAGAGATTCTTTTACGAAGCCATAGTGTACTAAAATTCATAGTTTAGGCTAGTTTAGGCTAAAATTCATAAAAAGACAAAATAGGCTAAAATAGCTAATAAGACAAAATATCACATCAAACCCATAATCATTTCAATTTTTCTCTCACAAACATCACATCCAACCACAAAAAAATCCAATCATCTTTCCAAACACAAAAATTTTAGCTTACTAAAATAGTCAAAAACTAAAATAACCTACTAAAATAGCAACTTCCCAAACGAAGCCATAGTGTACTCGTCAAATCCCTATTCAGATTCAAGTACGTCTCGAACAATTGGCTCAATCTCATCTTTGAATCTCGCTTTGCCTTCAACCACTCTCGTTAAAATCAGAGTTGCTTGATTAATTTTAGGAAACTAATTACTACAGGACGAAATTATTCATAAAAACGTTTGATTAATCTTAATTCAATTTGTCCAATTTACAAACACTCTACCATATTATTATGTTTGCATACTATATCAATTCTAAAATAGTGAACAAAAAATACATTATTTTAAATGAACAAAAAAATGATACTGTATTAATATTAAAAATTCTACTTTTCAATTAGATGAAGAATTTGAAAATGTTATGACCCATATCATTCTGCAATTTATAGATTTAGATCATATCCATTGCATTGATGGAATGAAGATCTTCATTCTAGTGCATAAAGTTGAAACACATCACTAAATTCCAAAATCAATTCTCATTCCAATGATATCCGAGTTCTAAATCCAAACTATTGATTTTAATTTTAAGCAATTTTTTGAAAAAACATGTATTAGTGGTTTTGGTGGCAGAAGGTCAATAACATTGTTCCAGTAGAATTTTTTTTACCACAAATTGAACAAGTCGATGAGATTTTAAAATTTTAATTCATCAAGAATACTTTGTTAATCTAATCGTTTATAAAAATAAAAAATTAACCATTTACTAATTAGAAAGAGCTTCCTTTCATACTTTATCTTTTCATATCCATTTATGCTCCTCTTGTAAGTCTCAATTCGAACTCACATCAATGATCTAAAGCACCTACCTCATATGCCACACAATAAAGGTCATCATGCAAAACATTAATTTCATCAGCTATAATATACATACTGTTATTAAATATAATACTAAATATTATATATATATATATATATATTATATAGTAACATGTATTATTTCCATATTAGGATTTTCTTTCTTGTTCACCACTCTTCCTTACCTATATATATTGTATTTTGATATACACAATATTATTAAATATACTTTTCTATTTCTTCAATTGTGTTAACATGGTATCAGAGCACAGGTACTAAACCTTGCTCATTAGCTCCCTCACCGGCACTTTTAGCCATCGATAACTATTTCCAGCATATCACCAAATCAATCTGATATGTTGGTACCTTACAGCTCTCTTATCAGTGAACGTAATCACAAAATAAAGCCACCAGACCCTTCCTCTCTCTACGTGATTTCGGTGTTGCCAACCTCACTCCAAAATACCCAATCATGCACCTCCACACACTGTTCTTTTCTGCGTCTGACAACACGCCACAAGTCTCAACATGTGTATCCACGCGCCTCTCGCTCACTGTCCACACAACACGTTTCTTTCATACGTATGCCTCTTTGCCGCTTTCGTTGATGTTAGCCCTAGAGTGTCATTCGTGTCTTCGCTGACGTTAGCTCTCGCACTTCTTGCTGATGTCGTCGCTTGCCACTTATTGACATCATTCGTGTGCCTCTATGCTGATGTCAGCCCTAGCACTTCTTTGCTGCATGTTGACATTATTTGGTTCACTTAGACTAGATCTGTCCATTGTTTTGGTCAGTTTACTGAGTTTTAGCCCTGTTTTTGATGTGTATAGATCGGTTCCTACGTTTTTTTTTTTTTTTTTTTTTTTTTTTTTTGCATTCTAAGTTCAATAGTAACCTCTGTTTTTCCAAATTCTACTATTTTCTGCATTGCTCTTTGTATTTCCTACATAAATGGATCGCTTCAACCCTATTCAACCAAAATCAATGGTACTTGATAGCACCAATTATCTCCTCTGGTCTCAAACTATGTCTGCCTTTCTCAAAGGTCGACAATTATGGCAAGTTATTACTAGAGAACAGAAGAAACCAATCCAAGCCAGGGATGAAACTGAAGCCAAATTTCTTGACCGCCTGGATGCATAGGATGGTAAAAATTTTTGTATTATTACTTGGTTTCATATCACCTCTACCACTTCAATTCATCTCCAATTTAGGCGATTTCAAACTGATGCCAACCCTGCTCCTGCTAAATCCATATGGGAGTTTCTCAAAAACTAATATCGTCAGATTTGAACCAGTCTTCATGGTCAACGTTAGGTACCGGGTCAGTCCATTAATGATTTCTTATCATCCATGTATAGTTTATGGGATCAACTTTCTATTTGTGAGCCTGTTGGGTTTATGACAAAAGATGCTTAGTCCTTTGTTGATTATCGCGATGAAGATCACTTGGTTGAGTTTCTTATGGCTCTTACTCTTGTTTTTTAGCTTGTCCAAGCTTCTCTACTGCATCGGGATCCTTTACTCACTCTGGAACAAGCTGTGACTGGTTTGAGGAGACTCGTCTTGGTACTCTCAAGATCACTACTGACATTGTTCTTGTTGTTCCTCACAGGTAGACTCCTTCTGGCTCCTTCACTTAGATTGTTGGAACTATAAAAATTGAGGCCTCAGTTTTAGTCATTCTCTTCTTCATTGTCCAGTTAGGGATTGTCGTTTTGTCACAAACAAGGGCTTGGTCACTTTGAGCATTACTGTCCCCCAAAACAATCTCGGAATAACCACTCATCTAGGAACTTAAGAGAAGATGACTATAAACTAGGGTCTCAGTATAAGCCTACCTCTCGATCTGCTACTGCTGCGGCTGAGGATTCCTTTCCTCCTATAGATCCATTTGCTCCATGTTATTCTTAAAATGATATGGAGGCCATGCTTTAACAA